CCGATCTTTGCTCAAGCCTGGTCCTGTTCCCCACTGGCACAGTTCAGTTCATGCACAAGCACTAGAACACGGGTACACAACGTGGACAGCCTTTATTATGGAGAAATCCCGGAGTGTTCTGTCTGTATCTGACTATCATGACTCAGAATAAGACACAAAGTCAGTAAAATAGCTGTCAGGTTCTCTGTGTTGTTCTCCGACTGTGCGTATCTTTTCCCAGGCTCAACACAGCCTAAGCACGGTTAGAGTTAGAGTTACCTCTTGTACGTCATCACATCCTAATACGACACATGCATGGCTCGACGTCATCATGAAGCGCTCTTTAGTTCACAAGAATGGAGTCACAGAGAGTCAGCACATCAGAGAACAACACAGAGAACACGACTGCAACTTTACCGACTTGGTGGCTTATTTTGAGTCGCTCCTAGATTTCTCAATCATGCAAGGCGGCCATCAGTTACACGTCATGTGCACGTTGTGTACGCGTGCTTGTGTTCGTGCATGAGCGACCGTACCATGCCGAAGCACCCTTCTTCTAACCGGGCCAGGGCCATGGAAGTGTACCATGCTTGAGCCCGGTATGGAGCACTCACACCAGTCAGATGAACTGGACTTTTGGGATCTAACATGCTTGGGCACTTTTCAGATTTTAGAGGGTGAGTGCACCCTGAGATTTCACCCTAGGCTCCATGTCAGATCAAATGGCGGGCATGGAAATAAAGTGAACTCCAGGATGATTCGTTCCCCGTCCTAGAGGCGAGTTACTGGGTCTGTTTTTTAATAAATAGGAAAACTAGTGAGTGAGTGTTTGTATCCACAGTTACAAAGCAGCTTTGTATGAAAGGCAGGCTGTTTTTCACTAAATTGGCTTCGCTCAGAGACACTTGTGCGTCACCAGTTGAAGCTAAAGTAACCAAAATAAAAACTTTTTTCTCTGCAGAGCTCATCGAGGGGGGGGGAGAGAGACCGCCCCGCTCAGGGCCAAGTTCACCTCTCCCACTCATTCCTCCGTTCATTCAAACCATAACTGGCAATAAGTCAAAGCAGCGACCTCGTGATTCTTGGAGTAATGAGAGGTCTGTCCTAAATATAAACTGAGCGGATTAGACCTTTTTTTCGCAGCTTGTCAAACACAAAGCTCCTGAAGGTGCTGAAAACAGGCCTGTGTGTATCTAGGAAACGACTGCTGCCAAACTGGGAAACAAGCCGCACTCTGTGCTGCTCTGCAGAGACTTATGTAAACGTCCCGGCAGAGAGCGGCTTAATTGACATCAACTGGACGGGGCTGAAAATGATGAAATTGTTCCACCTTGTGACCGACATGTTTTTGCTTTCAAGATCAGAACAGAGCTGCTTTTTCTGACCTGTTTTCATTTTTGAACAGCAGAGGAAGAAAACGTGTTTCAGAGAAGGGAAAAGGAACACAGTGAAGCACAATCTGATTAAAAAACAAACAAAGAAAAGCTCCCTTCCACTTTAAAATGTTGATAATTATCTACTTTATCATTTCACTGTTCTTTAAGAGGGCACGCTCTGGCTCCTTTAGACAAACCCAAAGGGGGCTTGAATTCCTGTTAGCTGAATTTTAACTCATATTTGGAGGATTATTTACTTTAACATCAAAATAAGAATAGATCATGATAGACTGTATAAATGTGGACGTGGTCTTAGTGACGTCACCCATTGGTTTCTGAAGCAGACTTTTGTAGCCAATCGATTGGTGTCACCTTATTGGAAATGCTGTCTTGGACTAACTTTTGGCAGAAGCAAACGTTTGTCTGAAGCCTCCTGAAAAACAGCTTCTACACACCCCGCCTGGCATGTAGACAAGCCACGCCCCTAATAATGAATAACTCTACAGTGTGTGCGGATAAAGGCATGAACTAGTCAGACCTAGTTCAGTATTTGAACCAGGCTGTAAACATGTTTATTTTTGCTGTTTCAGGAGCAGAGCCTCAAGTGGACACTTGAAGAACTGCAGATTATTTTTTCATTGTCTTCATTTTTCAGCACTGGAGGGGTGCTGCTTGGAAAAGATAAAGTCTCAAGCCAGACCACTCCACATTCTTTGGTCAATTAAAACACTTTTGGGGTTTTTATGACGCTTTTTGATTTTTGAGATCTAATCTTTGGCTCAGCTGAGTGTCTTTAAAACACATCAGTGACTACATACCCTGTACTGAGGGAGTAAAGTAGAACAATACTATATAGATGGATAGATAGATACTTTGTTCATTCCAAGAGAAATTCAAGCATGTATTTATAAATGCTCTTATTACACACTAAGAATCAAAGGAACATGAAGATGGGAGAAAGTTTGCTGAGGAATTAAATAATGTGACACGCATTCTCGCTTTCTTCCACAAGATGGCAGTAGAGATCAATGCTGAGGAAACATGTTGCAGCTTTGATCTTTTTCTACAATCTGCACGCTGCATTGTAAAAAAAAGGGAGGTGTGAAGTTGAATTTGTCGTTTTGATCACATTTGACGACAGTCACACTGATCACTCTGAGGACATCTGCATTGTAAGTGAGGCATGCAGTCACTCAGTCTGTAGGGACTTGGGTTAGGAACTGGAGGATCACTGGTGCAAGTCCCGGTGATAACTGGAGAGGTGCCAGATCACTTCCCGTGTACCGTCAAGGTGCCCTTGAGCAAGGCACCAAAACCCCCAAACTGCTCTGATGCGCTCCCTGTGTAGCAGCTGCACCCTGACATGATTAATGCATGTCCACAGGTCCTGTTTGTGCATGTGTGTTAGGGCTGGGCGATATGGACCAAAACTCATATCTCAATATTGTTTAGCTGAATGGCGATACTCGATATATATCGATATGTATTTTATTAACAGTGAAAACATATGGAAAAATAAACTACCTGTTTGTGAATTTAAAAAGTAATATTATAAAATTAAAATGTTCCTTAAATACAATAAAAGAGAGAGAGAGGAGGAGCAGGGCTAAGAGGGAGGGAGGGACAGACAGTCAGTCATCATCAGTGAGATGAGAAAAAAGTGACCTGGCACCTCTATAACGTTATTTTAATGCAACTTAAACTATATCGATATTAACGATATTGTCTTACCCTATATCGTGTTTGAAAATATATCGATATATCTTAAAAACTTGATATATTTCCCAGCCCTAGACTGTGTCGTCTGCACCACCAGCAAAGGCCCTCACTTATCAATCTGGTGTAGAAACCAGCGCAGATTTGGATGTAGAAATCATTGTACGACAGAGTCCACGTGGGACCTATGAAACGTGCGTATCTGGCTGATCACAGCGTACGCAAGACGGGTGTTGATAAGTGTGGCGGCTGGAAACAATCGTCATTTAAAGACCACGCCCCTATTTATTCACGGCTCCGCTGTCCTCGCCCCCAGAGTTTACGGCATGGAGATACGTAATATGGCAAAAACGAGAAAAGAGATATGACCTGAGTGACACCATAACAGAGAAAGTAAAGAGCAATAACATTGTGTTGTCTGGCAGCCTGAAATGTAGGATTAAAGAGCTTCAGAAGAAATGCGCCCGCATGGAAATCTCAACAGCGTTGGTGTGGATAACCGAACTCCAGCGCAGTTTTTAATAATTAATTTAACATCTGTGATATGTAACGTACATAATCTAGGCTATAATATAATCAAATCTTTTATACTTTTAGTTTTAAAAACCTGGTCAGACCATACGATCGCTACAAGATAGGCTAGTGTTGCGGGTCTTAAAAGAAACAGCTCCCGGACCGGAGGACACCAGCCGGACCCCACCTGAAATTATCCCAGATCCAGGAGCGAGTGACTTCTTTCATCAATCAGCCTCAATATCAAGTACAAGTGGTACAGGTGAACCTGCATCTGTGTCAGATAACTTCGGCTGCACTAACGGGCTCCGTGCTCGCCGTTTATGAGTCTTTAAAAGAGATGAATGAAAACTTGAAACATCCTGCACCAAATGAACAAAGTGTTTGATCAAACGCTGTGCAATGTGCACTCCTCATCCGTTTAGCCTTCTTTCCAAACATAAGAATTTAACACTTACATAAAAGAAGGTCCTGACTCTGTCTTACAGCCCCCGGATTTCTTTATTCGTTATTATGTCACATCTAGTCTCTGGCCTATGTGCGTCTGCTGTGTGCAATTACTTTACGCATGTGGCACACCAGCGTATTATTGATGATTTAAATCTCTGGACATACCGATTAGTTATGATCTAATGTTAATGTTCTGAATTCTTAAATATTTCATATTTCAGAGGCTAAAAGTTGTATTTAGTATCTCTGGAAGTTTGTCCTTTTGAAGTAACTGTTTGTATTTTTTCTGTTTTAATTTGTCTCAGTATTTTCTGCAGTGATATTCCTGTGCGCATGAACGTTTAACATGTATTTACTGAAAGCAGCCTCTGTAATCTTTAATCTTTAAAGTAAATCGATTAAACAAACATTAATTCATCAAATATAACACACAACTAAATAAATCACCCGACAGCTCGCGATGCTCAACATTATTTAAAAGCGATGTAGTCTACAGAGATCGTTTGAGGTGAAGTGTAATATAAAATACATTTGAGATATCTTATCTAACAGTAAATCTGTGAACCTCTCCGTCTTAACAAGCACTGTTATAGTAAAATCTAATTATTCTCCGACACGGACAGAAGTCCACACTGAGTTGAAAACGTGCGTACACGAATTGAGACCTGGCATGGGATTTGAGCGTACCCTCCGCTCACGTCCAAATTGATAAGTGCCGAACTTTGCGTGGAAATGACCGTACACCCATTTTTCTGCCGTGCGTACGTTTAATAAGTGAGGTAATGGGGATGGGTTTTTAATCACGTCAGGTTGCAGTGATACTTCTGGTGCTTCTACAGTAGGTAGGCCTATGTCTAGCCTATTATACTAATAAGAATATGCATTTTATTATTTTATCATTACTAGCATGCAATAATGTGATGAAAAATGTAATTCAGTTTGTGGATTTTATTTATTAGGCTTTATTTTAACAGCAAATGTCATGTAGTCTAAGGACTACATCTTAAAAAGTTTCTCCACAACAGGAGATTTACAAACCCAAATGTAAAAAGGGGTGAAACTGCTGAGATAATATCACTGTATATTTTCATGTCAGAATTTAACATAATTCTCTCTTTAAAATACTTAAAAAAAACATATTAAGCTATCATGGCAACAGGCTATACTATGACTCATCAACATTAAGACATAATAAAATAATTTTCATTTGCAATAAAAACAAACCCTGAGAGATCTGTGGTGACTGGTGACACAATCAATCCCAACAATCATGGGAAGTTGTAGTTCTAGGTGTTATTGATGTGAATCAAACATAAAGCACCCAAAACAGTGAATTGTGTATATTTCTAAAGAAGGATATACTGTAAAAGATAGTCACATAAACAAAAATAATTCAATATAGTCTAACTGTGACACACAAATGAAGCCCTTTTCAAAAGCATCAAACTAACAAATGGCCACCATTGAAACCCAACAGCAGAAGTCGCCTCATATCCAGACACACACAGACATAAGGCATTGCATTTTATGTAACAAGGCCAGCATAGTCATTTTCAAGCTGAAAACATAAAGTTTTGAATAACACAGATCTTTAAAAACCTTTTCTTGATCGTTTTTTTTTTATCTTGGGTGTTTTTGAAATGTTTTTCCGGTACTTTATATTTAGACAGTGTTTGCATGAACCAGTTTGTTTGTAACAGTTGATCCCACCCACTCACCCAATCCCTGTTAAAAAAGGATCAGACAGACTTTCCAGGTTCCCTGCACTTCCTCGACTAATCTACCAAAAACCTTGACTTTCAAAATTATTCCACCCTAAAACTTAGAATGACAGCTAAAAATGTAAAAGCAGTATTGTGGCATTCAGGTCAATTATATCACCTTTGCCACCTTTTGGTTGCTGTAATTGGCTGTAATTGGCTGTAATTGGACCATAGTCAATTGAGCATATTCACACAGCAGCCATTTTTCTCAGACGTCTTTCATAAGGAGGAAAGTGGTGGTACAGGTGGTTCACTTTAGTCATTGAGGTCTCTCCTTGGTTTGTTAGTGGGTGGCACAGGCGGTCTTTTACGTTTCCGATCATCATAGGGCTCATCATAGCGGTCATCATCATATCGTCGGTCTCTGTCATCATCATCATAACGCCGGTCTCATCATAAAGGCTTTCCTTCTCTCTCCATTCACTCAATTCAACAGCCCTCAAACATGTTTTGCATCAGACAGGGTGAGTGTGTTTTCGTGTGTCTACCAGGTCCAAAATATTTACCCCATGGCGTATTCCTCCTCCTCCTTCTTCCGACAGCAGCAGCAATAGATGATGATGATGAGTGCCATTAGCGCAGCCACAACGCCACCGATGATTCCTGCAGTGGAGCCGATGTTCATGGAAGCTGCAGATGAAAATGTTACATATTAAAACTTGAAGATGTATTCATCATGAAAAGGGACTTCCAGATTGTTTATGAAACAATTCAAATTATGCAACAATTAAAATAATTTGTAGGTCTCGCTCACGTGGCATGACTGTGAGGGTGACGTTGCAGGAAACGAAGCAGATCTTGTTTGTGGAGGTGCAGATGTAGTATCCTGATGAGTCTTCAGAGATATTATACAGAGACAGGATGCCTCCCTCTGAAAGACAAAAACACACATAAATCACTAATGTCCTGATTCTGCAGTTTTGTCAACACAAGACACTAAAGGGACTCAATCTATTTTTCTGAAGATGTTGGTATTCAATTGTTTTAATACCACAACAGTTGAAGAGCTTTGGTCATCTTTGTATGCAATTGTTCACCTTGAAACTATACGATCAAATGTTTTGTCTGCATTGACTGTTCAGAACACAAGCAGTCATTTAAAATTCGTTATTTAAAATTCTAGCTGATGGAAACAAACAGGTGTTTTGAAAGAAGATATGATAGAAGATGTCAGCTGATGACAAATTGCATTATGAACATTTCTACAGTTTAGCCAACGCATGTTTTGTCCACAAGAGAGCAATGAGAGGACGGTAAAATGTCCAGTGAATGTCTTGGTAATATTTCTTAAATTAAAAAAAAAATTAAATAAAGGTTCATTAAGAACTATCAAATATTAAAATTTGCTTCAAATATCTGGTATTAGCCTGGTTCTACAGAGATAACAATGAGACATTTATGTGCTGACAGTTGACTTATAGTCAGGATTAATAATCCTGTAAAATACTATGTCACTTGAACTTACTGTCAGTGGATCTTAGGCTGGCAATGCGAGGGATGTTGTTGACATCTCGACTTTCCCACTTGTAGGTGGGTGGCGGGGAGCCTTCCTCGGACACACACGTCAAGTTGATGTTCTGGCCGTACTCTGTTTTTCCCTGGATCTTACAGATGGGCGTAGAGGGTGCCACTAGACAAAATAATGAAATCAACTTAACTTTATTTATATAGCACTTTACACAACACTGTTTATCCAAAGTGCTGAACAGCGCAGATAGAGGAAACACAAAGCCTAAAAAAAAGTAACAGATTAAAGAAAACCAAATACATAAAAAAATCGGCATTAGGATTTATAACCGCAACAAAGGTGGCATTTGTCTTTGAAAATGACAATAATTCATTGCAAATGTCATTCAGACAGTCTTTCCAACTGCAAGGAAAAACAGTCTTCTTTTGATGATCTACTTCCCCACATTGTGTTTTTTTACTTTTGCACACGTTGCAATAAATATGTTGCTTCACCAGCTTACATTTAAAAAACATTGAAATGCTGAAAATGATTCTTGGGTAGGATATTTTAAAGAATTTCTAACTAGAAACATCATGCAACTAAACTCTTTCACCCACTTGTGAAAAACTCAAAACATTTCTTTATTACCTGGAACTGGCATGTCAAACAGCCAGCCCTCACTGTACTCGAGGAAGGTGGAGAACCTGCAGGGCATGATGTCACCCCTAGCATTCTCATAGAGCTCCTCTGGGATGTTCACTTCTAGGGCGCCGACACCTGACAACACTGAAAGATTGTAAAATAAATAAATGTACCTTTTAGTATTTGCCTGCCCTTACACCACGATGATCTGTGATCTTGTCAATAAAGTTATCAAGTTGATCTGAAGGCTGTTGTGCTTTTACCAATCAGCAGCAGACTCTGAGATCTACAAATACATTTTTACTCCACCCTCAAACCCCTCATACACACACAGTGGGTTAAAACTGTAACAGTAAGAATAGAATAGAATAGAATAGAACTTTATTTGTCCACAAAGTGGAAAATTGTCTTTGGCTTCACAAGAACAAGACAGAAAAAACGTTATGACAAACAACACAACATTCAAGCACAGCAGGAAACCAGGAGAGCGCCTGTAGTCCTCGACAACATCACAGTCAGCATAGTTCATGAATTTAAAATAATAATTTAGTATAATAATAAGCCAGAGTTTTAATACATTTCATAAAGTTATAGGTTTAAAAACAATAATTTCATAAAACAATGTGCAGTTAGAGTTGGGGGGGGGGGTAGTTTTTTCCTTTATGAATTTAACAATTTTATTGCATTTGGTACAAATTATTTTTTATAAACATTTTTTGTGGCTCTTGGCAGTCTGAATTGCCGACCTGATGGAAGCACTTCGAGCTGGGAGTGCAGTGGATGAGAAGGGTCACTTGTTATGTCCTGGGCTTTCTTTTTAGTGTTCAGTACATGCCTGTCACAAAGTGGCATCTGTGGTTTCCCTATGATTTTACTGTATTGACCACTCTTGTCAGTTTGCTTTTACATTTAGCATATAAATGCCCGTACCAGGCGACCATGTTAAAAGACAAAATACTTTCTACCAGATTCTTGTACACCATTTCAAGAATCCTTTTACTCACCCCAAACTCATTCAGCTTCCTAAGTAGGTGTAGCCTCTGCAGAGCTGTTTTAAAGACATAGTCTGTGTTATCTATGAATTTGAGGTGACTATCGATGTAAGTTCCTAAATATTTAAAGCAATTTACCTTTCAACAATTTCCCTCATGATTGTGAGGCAGGAGTCAGAAATATTGTTTTTACTGGATATAACCATTTCTTTAGTTTTACTAATGTTTATCTGTAAAGCACTCGATAGACTTCAGTTCTGGAGCGAAGCTACATGATTAAAATATATATTCTCTCCTTTAGTGTCCCCTGCACGTAGGAGGCCAACAAGTGCTGAGTCTTGGAGTCTAAACTAATTTGTATACACAGAGAACAATAAAGGCGACAAGATGGTGCCTTGAGGTTAATGGATAGAAGTGGAAACAGGCCACCGTTTTCATAGTTGTTTCATTTTCTTATTCTGAATTAGCTAAATAAAAATTGTACAGCTTATTAAATGTGTCTTATCTGCTTTACAATTAAACTAAATATGTTGGTTTTTACTGTTTGTGACATAGCAAGACGATTCTCAGATGGGATTTTTATTTAACAAGTTCTTTTTCAGGTAAACAACAAAACCTTTATCTTATTAACAACATATTAATTATCCTTAATTTGGAGGAAGCCTGCAGTCTCTTCTAGTAGGCTAATCATAACCATTCTTGCAGTGCCTATTTCAAAGGGGAAAGGTCGAAATAAACATACAATTATAATTATGTAGATTAAAATAGATTCAATGACATGCTGTCTAAATTTGACATGAGTGCTAATTACTTTTTTGAAAGAAATAAGTAGCTAACTGAAAAACAAACCAATGAGACGGGTCTCCTGCATAAACAAGCTTTGGGCCTGTTGAGTTACAGAAGAATACCTGAGGTGCTCAAACAGGTGTGGCAGCTTGGTAATGCGCAATGTAAAGAAGCATTATTTTGCAAAGGAACAGCCCATACTCTCCTAGAAACAGCAGAATCAAGCCAAAAATCCTCCTCTCCATTTCCACGAGTTTATTTTCTCAAACTATCCGACACTGGTTTTGGTCGGTGTCGCTGTTTTGTCTTAAATAAAACAAAGCTCCGTAGCCGCGACATTTATACCAGACTTCGCAAAGCAGGGCACTCTCATTGGTTGATGTGTTTTAATCTGCCTATAATTGTCTCTTAGTTTCATGACATGTTCATGTTCATGTTTCATGTGTTATGTTCGTGTGTTGTATTTTCAGACAGGGTGTGTACAAATGTCCTCGCACCCAGATGTGGTTTGGCGTGTGTTGTTTGTGTACGTGTTACTTCCTCAGTATTTTTCCACTGTGCAAGCAGAAATTCGTGTGTGTTAAATGCATAAACAACAACATATATTTGGTGAGACTTGGCAGCTCGGGTTCTAAAGCCGCTGCATCATGCTCGCTGAAAGTTCAGTGTGCACTGAAATAAACACTCTGATTGCCACCTGCATCACAGTGTGAACTAAAGTCTGCCCTAGTGTTAAAGGTCCCATATTATGTTTTTTTCTGGTTTTATATGCTCTTTAGTGTGTTTTCCAAGTGTCCTGTGCATGTTTAGGCACATCTATGTGCAAAAATTCAAAGTCCGCCGAAACGCGGCTTCTCCTACCTCCTCCTGTTAGCTGTAGCATTAGCTGCATGTAACGCTCGGTTCTAGCCCCCCTCGATAAAATTTGTCAGTGCAGCGTCATTGTCAGTGTGAGATCACTGATCTAAGCCCATTGGCTCGTTGTGGCAAGCCCTGCAGCTCATGTTGAAATTTCCGAGAAGCGTGCTGAACAACTGACCAATAATGACAGAGCGGATCAGCAGACCAATCAGAGCAGACTTGGCCCACGTGGGGTCTAACAGTGTGGGCTCAGCAGAGTGTAGCTGACGGACTCAGAGCGGAGAGGGAGCAAGGAGGAGCAGTACATGAAAACAGACACTTTTTTCAACTTTAGCTGTTGTGAATGTACAGGTAGGTACATAGATTAAATATACAAACCCCAAAAAGGGCATAATATGGGCTCTTTAAAGATTCACCCCACTGTGCGTTCTGCCCGCTTGCCTCATAGACTGTAAATATTACACTCACCTGCCTGGCAGCTGGAGTCTGACGTCACTTTCCTGCACTGTCACTTTGCCATTTCGTTTTTGAGTTGGTTTGAATTATGATCACTTTTTAGCACAGCAAATTTGAAAACGAAAAGCCAAAGACCTTTTTGTTTTCATTTGAATGATGTCATACAATATGCATACATAGAGAGTAAAATATAATGCAAACTGGATGACTGAATATTAATTTTAAACATAGGTCAAATAATGCACCTATAATCTGAAAATTAAAACAAGTTTCTTTTACTGTAATTTCATTTTAAAATTAGCTTTTTCATTTGAATTATGATACAAATTTAGCCAGGCATTTTTTTAAAATGATAAAGCAAATGCCATTTTCTTCTTCATTTTAATTTAGTCAAAGAATTTGCATTTTTGAAGTTGAAAATTAAAATTAAAATTAGATAAATTAATCATCATTTTATTTTTGAGTCAAATAATACACTCATTCTGAAAATTAAAAAGCATTTCTGTTAATGCATTTGAATTTTCAAATTAGCTTTATCATTTGAATTTTGATCACTAATCGCTTCCATAGTGATAGGGGCTGCTACACCCGCTGTAATGATGGCGCGTGTTTCAGTATTTTGTACTGGTATATTGGTTGCACCGGTGTATAAGATGCAGCCAACTTTTAAGATGAAAAAATTGGTATTAAAAGTGCGTCCCATACACCGGATTTTACAGTATGTTACCGCTTTGCACAACGCCAGACATAACTACCAAATTCCCGTTTCTAGAATAACAGTCAAAATATCCGAAATGAACTGATATATGTACTTTATTTTAACATCAATCCCTCGTGCTTTCTTCTCCTCTGCATCCTTCTTCAACTGGCGGTGTTAGCACAGTGGTACCATCAGATGAAGCCTGCTGCTTTTCCTCTTGCTCCCTTTCAGCTGGTTGCAAACTTGTGTCCGGACTGTTCACATCATTGGAGGCATCTCTGGTGTCCTCACCACTGGAATCATTCAGCAGACTTTTGGAGCTTTCCTCTGGTTCATATTTTGAGGGGATGCTGTCGGTTTCAGAGATGTTTCCGAACAGTTCAAGCTTAACCTGTCCATGTCTTCATGTTTGTCCTCCATGCTCTTCTCCAGGATGTGTATGCATTCTGCATCCATTCTAAAGTCTCCGACTGCTCTATTTGTTTATCTATCAAATTAGCAATGATCTCCGTTATGTTGTTGTACTCCTTGAAGAACTCTATCTGCAGATCCAAGAATTGCTTCTCCACCTGTTTATTCACCATCCTGCAGATCCTCCTGTCATTTGCTGCCTGTTTTCTGTTCCTGTCCAATCATCAAGATAAAGGTAGTTCAACAGAAAAACATTAAACAGATTGAAAGGCGCACCTTCCAGTAATGACACAGACAACAGCAACACGTTACAAAAATATGTGTAGTCTATTTCTTCATAAACAACCGTAAGAAATGAACCTGAGGGTGGAGACACTGAGACGCTCCTTTCTGCCACTTTCTGCCATCAGGATATCCACTTCTTAGAAGTTCTCTCTGAAAAACAACTAAAGCAGAGGAAAATTTCACTTAAAACATATATTATTTTATTTGACTTTGAAGCCCCACCTCTTATTTAGAATGACTTTCTTTAGCCTTTTCTATTATACTGTCCTTGCAATGAGTTGCATATCTTCAGAGCCAGACAGTTAGCTAAGTAAGTCCTCCAAAAAATGACAAGGCGTAACTTTTCTCGTTATTTATTGAAGAATTCTTTCTTTCTTGTAAAACTGTAATAAAACACAAATTGTAATGTACATTAGAGACTAAAAAACAGAAAATGGGGCACAAGAAACAATTAGCTAACCTAAATAGCAGAAGCACTGATATTTCTAATGTATTCACATTCATATGTGATTGGTAAGTGTATGTTGTAAAAATAGAAAAGAAAACATCATTGTGTCTACATTCAGTGACTGTTAGGAATACGTTAAAAAACAACCTGACACAAACCTATAGCACCAGTTAGCTCAAAGAAAATCAACATAACAGTAACACTAACACCCAAAAAGGACTTACCTCAGTAACAAGCAATTCAAATATCTTCTGTCCTCTCCTTTTGTACTGCACCCAACTAGACTGATTTCTCTGTTGTTTACATTAGAGTTTGTATTATTTCAACATGTAATCCAGAAATTGGTTGCCATGTTACTTCAGGTTACATAAAATGCATGTCTTCCTCTGGTGGGTCATCTTTTTCTAAAGATAAATGTAATGAGGAATACTATGGTGACAAATAGAAAGAGGATTTGTAAATCAGGCATTTTTCCAGTTTCCATCAGAGTCCTGCCAGCTGAGTATGATACTGAAGTTGCCTCATTGAGCAGGTGGCTTCTATTTCCAAGTCATGATTTTGACCACAGGCCATGGTCATAAAAAAAAAAAAATCTTCTACCTAATTTAATTTAATCTCAAGGATACATAGTAGGGCTGGGCGATATGGACCAAAACTCATATCTTGAGCAGAATGGCGATACTCGATATATATCGATAGGTATTTTATTAACAGTGAAAACACATGGAAAAATAAACTACCTGTTTGTGAATTTAAAAAGTAATATTATAAAATAAAAATGTTCCTTAAATACAATAAAAGAGAGAGAGAGGAGGAGCAGGGTTAAGAGGGAGGGAGGGACAGACAGTCAGTCATCATCAGTGAGATGAGAAAAAAGTGACCTGGCACCTCTATAATGTTATTTTAATGCAACTTAAACTATATCAATATTAACGATATTGTCTTACCCTATATCTTGTTTGAAAATATATCGATATATCTTAAAAACTTGATATATTTCCCAGCCCTAATGTGTGTGTAATTCAGGCCCATGTGTGTGTGAGAAGCATGTCTCTAAATAACAGAGTGTAAACACCAGAATCTTCTAATTTCCCTCAGGGACTTTTAAACCCTCGACCTTTCGGAATAACTTCTGTTAACTTGTTGCCGATTGACTCAAACGAGCTCCTCGGGACTCATGTTATAGACATCAAACTTTTAAAGTAAATCTGTTGATTTAATAAAATCAGTGTTCATCTTTAACTACTCGATGCATTGAGTAATATCACATCCAATCGAGAGGCTGTTTGCTGTTGATGAATGCTAGCTGGACTTGCCCCCTGAGAGGATTTGCCTTTAGGGCGCCATCAGACTCTTGAGCAGCCACTGCATGTGATTCATAATACTGTAAGAATATAGAAATGTAACAAATACAACACAATACAAACTGTCAATAACAATGATTGTGTTATGTTTATATTGTAAAGTAAACACACGTTTTCCTTTTGCCTTTGTGACAGTGACATTTCTGTTCAGCACCGAGTGCTCAACTATTTGGATGTGCATGTTTTGTAAATTCTTTGTGTACTGACCCATGAAGCACCAAAAGGGGGCAGTGTTGGACTTTTTTATGCTTTGGATAATTGGCTGATAAAAAAAACATGAAGATGTAATTGAGACAGGAATCATTTAATGTCTTGCTGCCCTAACAATTAAGTTCTTTTGGCTGATTTAATAAGTCGGGCATTATCTGAAACCACCTTCAGACTCTTCAAACATTTTTAAAGGTTTTAGATTCAGTCACTCTCCTCCTGATGCCCACACAGACCAGCCGCCTGATGAGGGGGCACGATAACGTCCTGACTGACAGGTCTGTGGCAGCTGTGTGCTGAGAGACCCCCCCCCCTCTCCCAATCACAGAGGGAGGGGTTTGTTACTGTGACAGCTGTCATGCCCCCCTCCCCTCCCTCCTGCACAGATTTCCACATCATTACCTCCCACATAACCTGCTGTCCCCTCAAACCTGTCAATAAGAAGACATCCCTGCACACAAACAACATTTAAAGAACAAAAAATATACAAAAGTCTGCAGACATTTTGAACGATTTAATGCATCCTTCAAATTTAAACGCTCCATCTGGAATAATCAAACCAGCAGGATGAGTAATGTGCACCAAAAAGACACAAAACCACAGAAGTTCTAACCTTTTTTTAAAAAGCAAATACAAGAAACAAGACGTAACTCTGCACACGCTGAGTTTGACTGACGGATGACATTTAAAGAGTGGAGCAAAAATAACCCCAAAAAGCGAGCTCGCCGCTGCAAATATGTGACCGAAAAACACAAAGGGGCGCCAATAAATGGATGTTCTTCACTAAAAAGTTCACTTCCCTCAACTGCTGTTTAATTATTTTAAATACACTTTTGTTTCAGAGTGAACATTTAACAAAGACGGAAGAAATTCCAAAGCACATTTTTCAGTTTTACCATCAAAAATATACAAGAATTATCCGTCAATAAACTGTAAAAGAGCTGAAGTTACTTTGCTGTTTTTAAAACAAGGAGCACTTATCTGTGCTTAATGTCTGGTGCATTTGAAGTTGTTACTCCCTCTAAGTGTTAGTGTACGGAAGCCCTAAGCGGACATACATCCATACATTTTTAATTCACTCCGGTTTTCCTGTGATGAAGAGTAATTTACTTTTATTTCCTCGAGAACTCGAATTATTTATCTCATGTCTCCAGAGTTGCAAACAAAAAACGATTACATTCATGTCCGTCATATCTGCGTCCAATCGCTAAATCGCATCCACTCCTAACCTCTCCTGTGCACTGTCATTGGCTGGAGGAAACACACTAGCTCCCCACACAGAAACAAGCATGAAAATCCAGGCCGAGGACAGGGGCTCAAATGTGCTTTCAAATATAATGTGATGCCTTGTGAGAAATGTAACGTCTTTATTTCACTGATTCATAAACGGATGGAGAACTACGCAGAAGGAAATGAGAACAAAGCTCTTTTGTGTGTGATTTTACTACCACTACTCTAATCATTGACTTTGAATGAGAATCAGAGGATAGTTAAAGTAAAGGACTTCATCCTGCGTGTGTGTGTGTGTGTGTGTGTGTGTGTGTGTGCCATGAGTCAGAGTTTGATCTGTTTATTCATGGAAGAGGCTAATCCGATGAAACGATGACACACGCCTTCCTGTCAAACCGACGTCCTGTTGAGTCATGATCTGCTGTCCACTGCCACCTCACACACACACACACACACGCGCGCGCACACACACACAAACAAACACACACTAGAGTTAGAGTCAAGTCCACACTAACCGAGACAAAGTCATACCCGAGACAGGAGTGCTCCGAGACAAGACTGAGACATTTAGGGGTCGAGACCGAGACAAGACCAAGACCCTAAATATCACTGAAACATCAAATTATGAATTAAAAAAAGTTATTTGATATTTTAGAAAGAGGCGTTTTCCTTTGAAACACACTACTGACATGGAAAAGTAGCCTCTCAGTGGTGGTCTTGACTTATTTAAAATCCAGAGTCTGCCCAGTTTGAGACCAAGACTGATTTTGAGTAATACAACACACACACACACACACACAGATTAGCGGACAACAAGTTCCATCATCATCTTCGTTTCACATGTTGAGTTACACTAATAAGGATCTTTTTAATTCCCTTGGTAAATCTCTGTGAATCATTATTTTATTTTTGGGAAAAATAAAGTGTACATTGCTACGTTGGTCTAGTCCACGGGTCACAAATCGCTGAAACGGACTCATGACCTCGATCATGACTGTTCTGGAGCTTGTTGAAGCCTTTGGACTCTTTCCTTCAGAGACTCTGAAGCCTTCGTCCTGCAGGACACGGTCTAATCTAAACTGCTAACCCAGTGTGTGCTACTCATTTATTTTCTGTAATTTGAATATTAGTTTTTCACTGAAGGTTCTGCTCCGCCTCCTGCTTCTGCCTCTCCTCTTCTGCTTTTAGTCTTGTTGAATTATCATTGATTTATTTATTTAAATATAGAGACAGTGCACATTCAGGGCGGCTGTGACTCAGTTGGTAGAGTCGTCGCCTCTCAACTGGAAGGTCGAGGGTTCGATCCCCAGCTGGGCAACATGTCCGATGTGTCCTTGGGCAAGACCCTTAACCCCGAATTGCTCCCGCTGCTTCGGTGGTGGTGCATGAATGGAATTAGTTACTTCTGATGGATGATACTACATAGCGATCATCACTACCATCAGGGTGTGAATAGGTGGGTGTGACATGTGGTGTAAAAGTAGTTGGAAGACTAGAAAAGTGCTATATAA